CAAGCCTAAAGTAGCCTGAAGGCTGAAAAGCCGGACCGCTGGTCCCGGATGAAACCTGCCATTTCCTGACCAATTCTTTCTGAAAAATACCCACTTGCACACTGGGAGGACAGGGCGGAGCCTTGGGAAGTTCATGGAATTTGCAGCGACGAGGAGCCTGGCTTTTCCTGTTCCTGTGTGGTGACCTGGGATTCATCTGTGAGGTGGGAATCCTGCTAGCAGGATTTTCTCTCACTTGGCAGAGTATTATTTTCCCTTTTTCCTTTTCGCCCAATAAATTCCTCTCCTCACCCTTCGATGTGTCCACGAGCCTAATCTTTCCTGGTTGAGTGACAAGAACCTGGTTTTAGCTGAACTAAGGAGAAAATTCTGCAACAAAATGACAGAGGGAAAAGGACTGATCTCCCTAGTCACTTGTATGAGGAAGTAGAGAATCCGAGAGGAAGCTGATGCACTTGTCCACCCAACTGCACAGAGCGGGAGAGATGGAGAACCATTGCTAAGGATGGCATCTCTGTCCACCAACCACAAGGGTCTATCTCTGGCCCCAGTCTCTGACCAATCAGATTAGCAACTCCCCTTCCCTTGAGTTGGGGCAGGGATGCTAGGAAGAAGTGGGAATGGCATGGGAGGAAGACTGACAGGTTCTTTTTCCAGTACAGAAGGTATTGTCTTCCCTGTTTTTCATGTAAGGAAACAGATGTGGAAAGGTTAACTGAAATTTGGTGAGGCCTGTTTCCAAGAAACCATAACTGAAAAATCCCAACTTTTAAATTCAGCCATAGTGATTATATCAGGTCAAAGATGCCGTAATTGCTGCTGAACTTCTGGTGAACTTCAGATCTATCTTTTGGGCATTTCTTCTACGTCACAAGTGTTTGGGTTATCCATTAAAGACCGACACTGAAGAAATAGAACCATGGGAGAGAACTCGGAAACATTTTTTTTGCGATGTTCTTTGCAGAGGTAAAGAAACTGACATCCCTAGGGAATGAAGCCTAGGTACCTGTGCCCCTAGTCTGGTGCTTTTTCTTCAGTGGCACTGTGGAGGGGTTGTTGAGTATGTGTTCCCTCTGGGACTGACTGGAACCTTCCTCTTCCCCAACTGTGAGGCAGGTGAGTGTTAGGGAAAGAGCAGTTCTTGCAGCCAGAAGCCCCCGGTGAAGTCCCAGCTCTATCCTGCATAAGCAGCTTGTGTGATCCAGGTATGCTCTCCTCCGTTTCTTCTTTGGAAAAATGGGTATAATGAAATTTGCAAGAAATCCCACCTGCCCTTGAACTGAGGTGCAAAGCCTGGAAGTTTCACAGAATCAGTAGGAGGGCCTAGATGAGCTCAGCTATTTCGGACATGCAGTGAAAAAGACCTGTAATTGAACTTCTCTGTACCCTCCATCCAACTTAAGAAATTGTAAACCAAAAATAAAATTCCAAGGCCCCCCTCCCCTAGCCATCTGAATTGACTCCCTCCTTGGCCAGGGCACTCTTCGAATTTAACCTGAAAGACTGGTTCAGGCCATGATGGGTAGTGGGGGTCGGAAGTGCCTCATTATATTATACCTTTCCAGTATTAACATCCACACAGACTGTAAGTCTGATGAGAATCATTTTACAACCTATTCTCTCTGAAGCCTGCAAATAAGAACTTTGGTCTCCATAATCCTTTATCTTAACCCAGACACTTCCTTTCTGTTGATCCCACCTCTCTTTAGATAAACACAACCAATAGTCAACCAGAAAATGTTTAACTGTACCTATAGCCTGCTTCCAGTTGTTCCACCTTGCTGAACCAAACCAATGTTTTCTTTTGTTGATTTTTGTTTTTTGTTTTTGTTTTTTGAGACAGTCTCCCTTGGTGCCCCAGGCTAGAGGGAAGTGGCACTATTTTGGCTCACTGCAACCTCCACCTCCTGTGATTCTCATGCCTCAGCCTCCCGAGTAGAGAGGCTAGGAGTTTGAGACCAGCCTGGCCAACATGGCAAAACCCCATCTCTATTAAAAATACAAATGTTAGCTGGGCGTGGTGGCAGGCACTTGTAATCCCAGCTACTTGAGAGGCTGGGGCATGAGAATCACTTGAACCCTGGAGGCAGAGGTTGCCATGAGCCAAGATTGTGTCACTGCACTCCAGCCTGGGTGACAGAGCAAGACTTGGGTCAAAAAAGAAAGGAATAAATCTCTTCAAATATTTTACAGAGTTTGACTCTTTTTGTTTACACTGGGATGGGGACTGGGGGTATGCAGGGAGGTGTGCATATGCACACTTATGTGTGTGGGATGGAAGGGGTTAATACCCGCCTGTTTGCAGACCACACTAGGGGCTATGCACATATTCCTTCATGGTCAATCTATTTTTTTTTTTTTTTTTTTTTCTGAGAAAGAGTCTCACTCTGTCGCCAGGCTGGAGTGCAGTGGTGCAATCTCGGCTCACTACAACCTCCGCCTCCTGGGTTCAAGCAATTCTCCTGCTTTAGCCTCCCAAGTAGTCTGGACTACAGACGTGTGCCACCATGCCCAGCTAATTTTTGTACTCTTTAGTAGGGACGGGGTTTCACCATGTTGGCCTCGTGATTTCTTCACCTCGTGATCCACCCGCCTCAGCCTCCCAAAGTGCTGGGATTATAGGCGTGAGCCACCGCGCATGGTCATTCTATTATTATCCCCATTTTAAGCCTGAGAAAACTGAGGCTCAGAGAGGCTGGAGGATAGGCTGAGGTTCCGTAAGCTGTTAAAGCTGAGATGAGACTTGAACGCAGGTCAGATTCCAGAATCTGGGCTCCTCCCACTTCCCACCACACTGCCTGTCCCTTGCTCCCCCACCTCCTTTTTCTCTCTCCTGCCGATTCTCCCCTTCCCTTTCCAAGAATCGCCTGTTTTACCCACTACTGTAATTACCGATATTATGGTTATACTTTCTGTTATGCATTTCAAGGATGTCATAGATGATGTTTCTCAAATGCTCCCATGAACAAGATCTCATTTGGTCCCAACCTGTGTGAGATAGGTGAGTATTAAGACCATTTTGCCAAAGAGAACAGATCTCAGAGAGGCTAGAGATGTACATCATGCCCAAGGCCCCTGCTCTTCTCTCTCCAAATCCAGGGCTTCTTTGCTCACGCTGCTTTGCCAGGTTCCTTCGAGGAGACGCTGCAAAGCCAAAGTCAAGTGCGTGCTGTGAAACTGGATCTTGATTTTAAATTTTAATCTTTTGATATTTTGATCATCCTGGATTTTTGACGTCAATTCTCACTTTAAAATACTGCATTAAAATATTATTTATTTGATTCTTGTGTTGATTTAGTGCCCTTAAATGTTGCACCCCAGGCAGCGCCTCACTGATCTCACCCCAATCCCACCACTGCCCCTGTCTGTACCTGGCGTAAGAATTACATCGTGATTGCAGCTGTGACATAAGCCAAGTGAGTGTTTTACCTGCCTTTTCTGACAATTCTTTGTTCTTTTGTTTGGTTCAGGGTGTCCCTCCCCTAATCTCCCTTCAAGGAACCCTGTCTGACTGGAATGATCTAGAAGGAGAGGTGGGCACTGTGGGTGCCAGGACAGTGATGTCTGGCCTTGGAAGTGGGACACTTATCCTCTTTCTTCTGTAGGGCCCTTGCTGTTAGCTGGTGGATGCCCTCAGTGCTTTGGGCAAGTGAACACAATGAAGCCTTTTTCTGGAAGGGATCATTCGGGAATCAACTTTCATGAATACCTTCTTGCTCACTCCATCCGCTTGCTTCCCTGCGCTCCCACTCCAGCACTGTTGGCCTCTAGGGAAATAGAAGGAACAGCTTGATCAAGCTTTTTCCTAGAAACGCCTTTCGATAGGCCCATTCTGGAAAACGAAGCTGTTTTTGTTTTCTTTGATTAATCACAGTGTCCTGTTTCCCAAAGCAAATGTGGCCTTGGCTCTTCTGAAAGAACACAGCCTGTGCTGTAAAGAGGGGTTGCAGCCGCCTGGTGCTTGACAAGGTCCCCAAGATGGGAGAGGACACATGTAGTCCTGTCCTCCAGGACTCTGCTCTTCATTTTTTACCTTCCTGGGAGCTCAGGTTACGTTTCCTTTGTGTTTTTCTGCCAGTGTGAACAGGAGAAATATTAGCCTTTAGAGATTTCTTTACAGTTCCTTGAAAGCTGGAGGGGTGAAATCAGCCAGAGGATTATATAACAGCAAAGCTCATTTAAAGCAACAGTGTCTTTCTGTAGGGCTGTGGTGGTCCCTTATCAGTTTTGGTTACTAACTTTAAAGAAAAAATATGCTAATTTGGTGAATAAAGTAGAGGGGCATTCCCTTTCCTCATTATTTTCTGTTTGTTCATTGGATGGACACAATTCCTAGGGTGTTGATTTTTAAAAAAAATTTTTTTGAAGCCTCTTTCAAGGAAGACTAGGGGAAATCATGTATTTTAACCTCAGGCAGACACAGCATACTTTTTCTTGTTAGAATTCAGAAGGAAAAAAATAGAAAAGCTTTCTAAAGTATTGTTTGTTTTAATTTAAGAGTCATGGGGAATTTTATAAATACTCTACTAAATTCTTCAAAGGGAGCCATGTTCTTTAAATTTAAGCACTAGGCTGGGCACAGTGCCTCACACCTTAAACCCAGCATTTTGGGAGGTTGAGATGGGCAGATCACCTGAGGTCAGGAGTTCAAGACCAGCCTGGCCAACAAGGTGAAACTCCCCATCTCTACTAAAAATACAAAAATTTGCTGGGCACAGTAGTACACGCCTGTAATCCCAGCTACTCTGGAGGCTGAGGCAGGAGAATCGCTTGAACCCAAGAGGCGGAGATAGCAGTGACCTAAGATTGCACCACTGCACTCCAGCCTGGGCAATAGAGCAAGACTCTGTCTCAAAAAAGAAAAAACTTTTAAGCGCTAGATCTTCTATTGCTATGTTGTTTGACCTAGAGCTTGAATACCTCTCAAAGTGCATCACACACAGTAGCGCAACTGATTTCCTTACTCTCTTGATTTGACCTTCTCTTTCTTCCCATTTTAGAGATGAGGAAACTGAGGCCAAAGGAGGCTGTGACTTGCCTGGCTTCACAGCTTGCCTGCAGATTCTGAACCGCCATCTTCCTCTCTCTGGCATCACCCCAGACCCTGTCCTCTTTCCTCTATACCATTGGTTCTCAACCAAGGGTGATTTTGCCTTCCAGGGGACATATGACAATGTCTGGAGGCGTTTTTGGTTGTCACAACTCTATGTATGTGTGTGGGTGAGCAAGGGATGGTGGGTAATGTTGGCATCTAGTGAGTAGATACAGGGACGCTGCTAAACCTACAATGCTCAGATGGCCCCTCACAAAGGAGTATGTTGTCCAATGTGTCAATAGTGCAGAGGTTGAAAAGCACTGGTCTGTACACAGCTCAGCTGTCCAGGGCAGCTGCAACCTCTGGGAGTTGCCAAGAGGTTCTCTGCCCAGCAATAGGCTTGGCCTCTCTCCTGTGGCTGCCACAAGAGTTAAAGCCACTGTCTAGAATGCCCTTTGGCAGTGGCCAAGTGTCCCCTGAGGAGCTGACTGCAGGACACACTGTGCATCAGCCGGACCTGATGTGTTTTATAATTTATAGTCACAGGGCACCTGTCTTCATTTAGCAGCAGGCCTGCTGGCAGCCTCCCTGCCAGGGAGGAAGCAAGTTCCACAGAGGCCCGCAGCCCCCACCAGCTGACAGCTCATGGTATTTGGGGACAGCTTTTACTCAGAGGCACCTGGGAATAGGCCGGGGCCGAGATGGCGCTGGGTGCTCAGTCTCCCCTTCAGACCCGTCCGTCAGCAGCGGTCCCTGCCAGAAGATGGCCTATTGAACATTTCCAGAAATAGCACTGCCAAGCCTGTCAACTGCTTTCTTGGAAATACACTCAATAAGGATGGCGGTCCTCCAGCAGGGAGAGCAGAAAGCCTGGCCTGGATCAGGCTCCCAAGAAATGGCAATGCCTGGCTACAGGCTATGTCAGCGCCTTGGGAAAAGGGAGCGGGTCTCATGGGACTTCCCAAGCCCTGCGGCCTCTGAAGTCACTTCAGAATGTTCTCAGTATGGAGGATGAGAGTCACACCTTGCAGAAGGCCTTAGGCCCTGTTGACTTCATCTAACTCAGTGACCTGCATATCTTGCCGTGTTTGTTCAGACAGCGGCAGACAGGAAGGCGATTCAGGCTTGGAGGCAAGGTATTAACTGTCAGCAGAGACGGACCTCTGTGTCGTCTGGGGAACGTTTATTTGCAGTTGCTCCTCTTGTGAACTTCACTCCCAGATAGAACCAAAGGAGCATCAGAAGGCCCCATCCTTCGGTCATTCCGAGGATATAGGAAACACAAGGCGAAGATGTCATCTTGAAAGAAAAGCTTGTAATTTATACTCCTCCCCTCCCCACTTCCCGCAGAGTTAACTTTCCCTCACAGAGGCTTGACATTGCGGTTGAAATTCAGCCACCCTGGGAGTCTCTGCTCCCTGAGCCTTTTCCAATGTCTGGGATGGCACAGTGATGCCAGGGTTTAAGACTGCCCTAAGAAGGCTAGCCACCTTTTAAAAAAAAAAGAGCTCCTTGAAGATGTAGGTGTCACATAAAAGCAAGTGATCAAAATCTCTATGCAATTTGGGGTGTTCAGGAAATGTTGGTTAATCACATTTTAAAAATTATAAGAGACTGCTGGACATGGTGGCTCCCTCTTATAATCCTAGCACTTTAGGAGGCCAAAGTGGGAGGATTGCTTGAGCCCAGAAGTTCAAGACCAGCCTGGGTGAAACCTCACCTCTATAAAAAATTTGAAAATTAGCAAGGTGTGGTGGTGTACACCCCTATAGTCCCAGTTACTTGGGAGGCTGAGGTGGGAGGATTGCTTGAGCCCAGGAGACTGAGGCTGCAGTGAGCCATGATAGTGCCCCACACCCCAGCCTGGGGTTAGAGCAAGATCCTGCTCAAAAAAAAAGGATAAGATAGTTACCAAGTTTATTATAAAGAATTCATGGGGACCTGGTTTTATTCCCAAGAGCCACCAACTCTCAGGACAAACATGATTTGAAGCCCACACTGAGCCATAGGTGGAGGCAGGGCTGTGAGAATACAATAAAGGATGCCCAGTTAAAGTTAAATTTCAGGTAGGCAACCAATTTTTTTGGTATAAATGTGTTTCAAATATTATTATTATTTGTTTATCTGAAATTCAGATTTAATGGGCATCAGGTGCTTTGTTCAATCTGTTCACTCCATTTGGGTTATAAATTGATCTATTTGTTAAATTGATAACAGGGAACATTGACACATATTCAGTACATATGGAAGACCATACAGTTAAGAGAGGAGGAAGGAGAAGGAGATTAGCAACGAAGAGGGAAAGCAAGAGTAACACCAGGAAGAAGGGGAGATGGGCATAGCAAAGGAGCAAAAGATCTAAATTAAGGAGAAACAGGAAGTACAGAGGAGAGAGAAGAAAAGAAAAAAAACAGGAACGTTTCTAGGGAACAAAAATGTTTGATAAATTATGACTGTTACACAGAGAGCCATCTCTCTGGGAAATGCTGTCGAGCTGACTAACCACGTTACTGGATCCGCTGCTCTTTGTTCTGTCTGGTACAACCCACAGTGAGCACTAGGGAAAAATGAATCTGTAAGCCATGGTACCATCACCTGGGGTCACTATTACCCTGGGCTCAGGTTGTTAAATAAACTTTACAGGAGGCCATTGCTTTGGACAGAGTCCTTGCACTGGGCTACATGAGAGTCACTGGTGCTACACAACATGTGACCAAACTGAACTTTAAAATGGGTCAGTTTTCAAAAACAGCAACCAACAGCAAGTGAAGCGGTTTTGTTCATCTGGGGTGATACCTGAGGTTCATTACCTCATGCATGCCAAAGAAATCGAGGATGCAGACACACACAAAGAGTGAGTTTAGCTGGGCTCAGTGGCGTGTGCCTGTAGTCCCAGCTACTTGGGAGGCTGAGGTGGGAGGATCGCTTGAGCCCAGGAGTTCTGGGCTGTAGTGTGCTATGCAGATCGGGTGTCCGCACTAAGTTTGGCAACAATACGGTGACCTCCTGAGAGTTGGCGACCACCAGGTTGCCTAAGGAGGGAGGAAACGGCCCAAGTTGGAAACAGAGCAGGTCAAAACTCCTGTGCTGATCAGTAGTGGGATCGCACCTGTGAATAGCCACTGCACTCCAGTCTGGGCAACATAGCGAGACCCCATCTCTAAAAAAAATAATAATAATAATAAAATTTAGAAAAAGTGAGTTTAATAAGTGAAAGAGAGAGGAGGGCAGATCACCTGAGGTTGGGAGTTTGAGACCAGCCTAACCAACATGGAGAAACCCCATCTCTACTAAAAAAAAATTCTTAAATTTTATATATATATATATATATATAAAATAGGCAAAAGGAAAATAATAGGTCTCTCTCCTGCAGAGAGAGGGGCTCCCAAGTGGGTCTTCCAGTTCCAAGGTGAAATACACAGGGTTTTACAGACAAGCTTGAGGAGGTGGTGTCTGATTTACATAGAGCCCAAAGATTGGTTGGACCAGGTATGTCATTTACATAGCATGCAAAGAAGCTGGCCACCCCACCCTAATCTTTTATTATGCAGATGGGTTCTCTACCTGGCCAGTGCCCTGTTGTGTGTTCCTTTGCTGTACACGTGGTTGACAAGAAAAGGGAAAATGGAGCCACCATGTTGAACATGCCCTGCCCCCAGGTAGCCTTTTCCTATTGGCACAGCTGCCTGTAACAAAGGGACTGCCTTTGGTTACCTGGGCTGGGAAGTAGTTTCCCATAAACTCCAGTGGGGAGCAGAAGAGACACACCAAATGTCTCGCCATGCTAAGACCTCATTCCAGATACCTGGAGATATCTAGGTTGTCGACTTGGGATATCATTATTACAACAAAAACATTTATGGAGCATCTACTCTTGGCTATCAGGCAGAAAGTAATTTATATGCATGATCTCAATTGATCCTCAACAAATGAGTCAGGAATAATACAGGGTGGAAATGGGAGAATAGAAAATTCCAGGCAGCATTTTCACACGCCTTGCAAAAAAGAAACTCTTTTAATAGCTGTAGAAGCTAGGGGCTGATAAGACCCTGAAAAAACAGGATGTGGGCCAAGCTGGCTAAGACCGACTGGACCCGACATAGTGCTGGATTTGACCTAGGTTTCCCCCAGGACCTCAATACACCCTCACCCACCAGCACCACGACAGTTCTGGAAACACCCACATTTGCTATAAAAATGGGTGGCACTACAGTTCCAAGAAATCCTCACCTTTTTCCAGGAACCTTTATGAATATTCCACCCCTTGGTTAAAGAAATCCATAATGATAGGAACCCCAGCTCCATGTGAGTCTCTTTCTTGAGTATGCCAGCACTCCCTCTTCTTGAATGTGTACTTTTGCTTTGGAATCAATTTCTGTATCTAGCTGGGTGCAGTGGCACATGCCTGTAATCCCAGCGCTTTGGGAGGCTGAGGCAGGAGGATGGCTTGAGTCCAGGAGTTTGAGACCAGCCTGGCAGCATAGAGAAACATTGTGTATGTTTTCACACATACACAAAAATACAAAAATTAGCTGGGTGTGGTGGTGCACACCTGCAGTCCCAGCTACACAGTGGATTGAGATGGGAGGATCACTTGAGCCAGGGAGGTCAAGGCTGAGATCGTGCCCCTGCACTCCAGCCTGGGTGACAGAGCGAGACCCTGTCTCAAAAATAACAATAAATATATCTCCGCACTTTCACTGTTGTTCAACTCCTCCTTGATTTCCTTCTCATGACAGTGCCAAGACCCTGGACGCTGGGTGGAGTCAAGGATCCACCACTGTTTGGGGACCTCTCCCAGCCCACCAGTATCACAACTATCTCATGTTGTAGGTATAATATTATTCATATTACTACAGTGTTGCCCTAAGTCAAGAGATGGAGAAAATAGGACTGCAAAAAGTTAAGCTGTCTCAAAGTTAATTGATTAGTGAGGGTTGGGGCTGACGTTTGTCTCAGGGATGCCTCTCTCCCAGCCCAGGGATCATCCCCAACCTTCCAGTCAGAGTATTGGGTTCAAATCCCAGCTCCATCGCTCATAAGCTTTGAGGTCTTGGGTAAGTTACTGAATCTCTCTACATCTGTTTCACTGTGCGAAAAGTAGTCATAAAAATAGGACATAGCTCATGGAGGTACTGTGAGGATTTAACGAAGTCTGGGCACTGTGGCTCATGTCTATAATCCCAGCACTTTGGGAAGCCAAGGTAGGAGGATCACTTGAGCCCAGTAATTGGAGACCAGCATAGGCAACATAGTGAGACCCACCTCCACACAAAAAATTAAAACATTAGCCAGGCGTGGTGGTGCACACCTGTAGTCCCCACTACTTGAGAGGCTGAGGCAGGAGGATTGCTTGAGCTTGGGAAGTCAAGGCTGCAGTGAGCCGTGATTGCACCACTGCACTCCAGACTGGGTGACAGAGAAAGACCCTGTGTCCAAAAGAAAAAAAAAAAAATTTAATGAGTAAGAACTAAACTCTGACTTTTTTTTTCCCTCTTGCCTAAATTCCTATCTAAGGGACCTGGGAGTCACACCTTAGAAACCATAAAATCTCATTAGACAGGTTTTATTAATCTTTTTAAATTTTTTTTGACTTTTTTTATTGTGATGGGGGTTTCACTCTGTTGCCCCGCTGGTTTCAAACTCCTGGACTCAAGTGACCTCCTGCCTTGGCCTCCCAAAAAGTTGGGATTACAGGTATAAGCCACCACACCTGGCTGAGTTTTAGTGATCTTATATAATGTGGCTTACTTTA